GACGCCGTAGTGGCGCGCGAATAGGTCTAGGTATGTCCAGACGCCAGGCGGGAGGGGGATTAGAGGTTTGAATAGCAAAGGGAGTCGGGGCGATAGGCGCCCCCAGGTAATTTGGGATCTGCCGAGAATCCATGGGGATGGGTGTCCAAAACGGCAGAGCGGCGGTAACGTGGCAGGAGTCAACATAAACAAATGTAAGCGTAAGCTTCCGCGGCTCGAATCCATGAATTCTCGGCTATCCGGGAGACGCCGCGTCGTTGGCTGGGGTGCCGACGTTTCGCCTGACATGTCGCAGGCTTCATCAGGGCAGTGACTGTTTACTGACTGACACAACAAGTCACTTCTTCGGTATTAAGAACCCCAAATGTGAATTCAGACTACCCTACGTATTAGGGGTTCGTTAGGAGCAGTTTACTAAATACAAGAGCTAGATAAATTATTTTTTACTGTACAAGGCTCCACAAAATGAGTGTTTTTTTTCTGTAGAAAAAAAATCAGCTTTTGTCGCAGCATTTCATAATTTTCTCTATACTACGTATATTACGTCGTGCTCTATACTGCATTTATACGCTAGTATACAAAAATTAAAATGAATGATGAGTTTATCTTACCCTTGCAATACTGCGATAAAATTCAATATTTAGATTTGCCGAGAAAAATCATGCAATTTGATGCCAGTTTAGGTGTTTGTAAAATGTGCGCAAAGGGGCAACGCATATCCAATGGGCCGCAGAGCATCTATGTATGACGGGTTGCCTCGGCACAGGGGTGCAGCAGTTGGCACAAATGCCTCACTTATTGTGGTGATGGTACTAGGAAAGAAGGAAAAAGACTTGGATATACCATGACGGACATGTGTTTTAATATTAGACAGGCAATCTTCTTTATTTGTCTTAAAATCGCATTATTAGTGCAAAACTATCAAGCAATGTCATTTTTGAAAAACTCAGGATTGAAAACACTGAAAATTTTTATTTGGTAAATACTTAAAAATACGTATGAAGTTACCATTTTTCAAAATAATAGGATGCAACTTGACGGGTTTGTTTTTTGATAAAATGACATTCGTCGTAAAATATCATAATCGAAGAAATTTTTCAGAACAAAAGCAATAACATTGCCATTCATGGTCCGATAGAGGAAATTAAATACATCCATGTATTGTCAGAATTTCAAACACTACTTGAATATCATTATGTCTTTCATTTTTCTCATATCGAAGCAATTTTCTTAAGTGTTCGACCTTTCTCTTTTCCATTCCCACGTAGAGAGCATGAGTTCTGCTAATTGAATTTGTCAAATAAATATTGTAAATTTATATTTTTCCACCATTCTGACAACTCGTTAGTCAATTCAGTCTCTACATTAATTGACTTTCAGTTCGAGACTTTGACATTGTGTTTAAAAAAATGGAATAATTCAAATTTTTTATCACATTATTCACCACGACCCGAAATGGAACAATTACATCTCCCATTCTACAGGATGACAGTGTGGTAACAATTGAATACCAAATAATGGGCAACATAGCCACGCGCGCAATGAAACTGTTCGAAATATTAGTTACTTCGGAAGTTGAAAGTACCTGGGTAAAGAGGAAACTCGAGTTCTATTTCCGGATGCGCAAATAATGCTATGAAAAATTTGAATGTAAAGAACAGTGATAAGTCATTGAAACAAATTGGTAAATGCTGTAATATATTTGAAAGTATTTTTTACACAATAACGCAGGGAACAGTAATCAGAAACTCGTTTACGGTTGCCAGAAACCTCCATTTAAATGAATAATAGAAACATTCGCGAAACCTATTATTTAAACGATTATTCACTTTTTATTGAATTATTTATCCATTATCTGCTGTCGTATTATAAGGATGTTACGCAATAATTATTACAAAAAATGAAAATGTAATGTAAATGTGTGATAACAAATGAGTAATCACTGTTAAGGGAAATTGAATTAAGAATCAAAAGGAAAACTATAAATTTATAATTTGTCGTTGGTTACAAAAATACATGAAGTGAAGAATATAATTAGTTTGATATAATTTTAGGAAATTACTCATTAACTTTTGATTGCTCTCGAATCGTGTATTCCGAAGTCATGTCAACTATTTTATCTTCGTTTTCCCTATAGCCTCTTTCACTTATTTAATATTTATTTTGCGGCGTAGCCAGTCTCTTCCCGCCGCCACATATTTCCCCTTATTGTTTCACTCCATCTCTGTCTGTCTCTCCCTCTATCTGTGTCTGTCTGCCTCTCTCTCTCTCTCTCTCGCTCTCTCGCTCTCTCGCTCTCGCTCTCGCGCTCTCGCTCTCTCGCTCTCTCGCTCTCGCTCTCTCGCTCTCTCTCGCTCTCTCTCGCTCTTGCTCTCTCTCGCTCTCGCTCTCGCTCTCGCTCTCTCTCTCGCTCCCTCGCTCTCTCGCTCTCTCTCTTTCTCTCACTCTCTCTCACTCTCTCTTTGTCTGTCTGTCTCTCTCTCTCTGTGTCTCTGTGTGTGTGTGTGTGTCTCTCTCTCTGTGTCTCTCTCTGTGTCTCTCTCTGTGTCTCTCTCTCTGTGTCTGTCTGTCTCTCTGTCTCTGTGTCTGTCTGTCTCTCTGTCTCTGTGTCTGTCTGTCTCTCTGTCTCTGTGTCTGTCTGTCTTTCTCTCTCTGTGTCTGTCTGTGCCTCTCTCTGTCCCTTTCTCCGTTTCTCTGCCTGTATCTCTGCTCTATTCCATCGTTTTATTTGCCAGTGTGCGTCATGTCGTGCCGGGGTGGGGCGGGGATGTGGAGCGGAGGAGATGCGGGCCGCGCCGCACGCGCGGGATAAACAAGGCAGAAAATCAATCTTCCGCGTGGCAGCGGCGCCGCTGGTTTTCCGGACGCGCGCGCCGCGGATAAATAGACGAAGCGCGGCGCGGTGGCGGCGGCGGCGGCGGCGGTGGGGATGGGGCGGCGGAAAGGAGACGAAGAGCGGGAAGGGGAAGAGGAACGGAATGGAGACAGTGACACCGTCGGGAAGGGAAGATAGGTGGAGCCAATGATCCCCTCTCCTCATTGGGGCTCCCAGGGTACCCGAATGGCATTGTTACGTTGCCGTTAAAGAAGGCTTGGCGACGGGAGTCACATTACAAAGCCGTGGCGATTGGCTCTATATACTGCAATTTTCGCAAAGGTTTCATGCAATCGGGTGCTTGATCGACACCATAGTGCGTGACTATGATGTCAGCAGCTGTTTGACTGTGGCGTTAAATCGTCAACAGCTGATACCTGCCAGGGGCAGAATTGCATAAATCGCAGTGCAAATTCAGATTTTGCTCCGTCTCTGGAGCTCTTTTTGCCCTGTCATTATAGACACATCTTCATTAGAACAACCTCATAAATAACCAGCCAAGATGTGAAATTTGTTGCAATCGAAAGAGAAGAAAAAAGAGTTGACATTGTTAATGATAAAGAGCAAACAATTGGGAAAATAAAAGATTGTTAATGATATGCTTGTTCCATTGTAGTCAATGTAGTTAAGTTTGATGTTGTTGCCAATTAATAAGCTTTATGCGTGGTGAAAATTTATATATAGTTGTAAAGAACAGGAAATTGTAAAAAATTATCTACGGTGCTGTTTCCCCTAGAGAGCACTATAAAACAGTAGTAATCGCGCTATATTGCAATCGCCAAACAGTATGTCGGACGTTGAGATACTACAGTAGTACTAAAAAATACCGCATCACCTAAAGATAATGTTAATTGGTTTTTTCCTAATCCAATCTGCTCTCAAAAAGTTTAAACAAATATTAGAAGAAATTAGTAATCATATATTTTATGTATATTATATGATGTTTCTGATTCTATTACCTTCACGCTCCAATTTTGAAAAATCAAGTGGTTTATTTTCAGCATTAAATTGCAGATTACAACTGCGAGAAAGGTGATGCGGTTGTTTTGAGCACTCCTGTACATCTTCTCTTTTAGCCGAGTTCTAGCTCAAAGGCATTGTATAAATTTCGCTATTAGAATGTGAAGTAAAACTACGAGTACGTAAACCTCGGCCTCTGGCAATTATCTTGAGTATTTGGCAGTAGCTTTGATGAAGAGAATATTACTACTTCTACGCATGCACAGGACTATTTAGTTCTGCAGATTGCAAAGCGTCTCTTTTCTGCAATGAAAACGACTGTGTGAATGTAACAGCAGCCCTGAGGAGCGACAGACTTGTCGAGAGTACACTCCCCAAAAAATATGTAGATGAACGCATTCGTGAACGCGGAACCAAACGTACCGTTGATACACGCCTGTTAGTGCTTAAATAAAGAAATAAAAAACGTGCCTAAAAATGTACTAGTAACCCTACTATATATTCATCACCACCATTACCACCGCATATGTCCCCATTGCACTAATCATCACTAACACTTAAATTGTTTTCCATATCACTTACTATTCTGGTCATCTGTAAAAGTACATTATCTGTGCAGAAGAGTTATCAAAAATAAAAAAATAAAAACCTCTCATCGGCATACCATTTAACTTGAGTATGTCATTGAATGACAGTTATTTAATTTAAATATATGAATTCGGTGATTTTAATTGTAATTATTCAGTTCCAGTTCAAAAGTTTCATTATTTAGAAAGTATTTTTAAAAACAAATATTTGTTTTAAATAAACAATAGCTCCTTGTCTGCTAGTCATTTTTCATATGTTTGGTAGAAAATTCAAACGATTATTTACGTCTATGAATTTTCTAACTTCCAAAGGAACTTCTCAACGGACAGTACCATAACCTTATGTAAAACATTGAAGATTGGGCGGATTTTGACGTGCGCGATTTACAGATGTGTTAACGCTGCTTTTGTGATGGCGTTGTTGGCGAGAAGCGAGGTCCGATTTGGGAAACGGACGGGTGACGGGAGCGAGTTGTAACCGGAGCAGAGCGGAGTCCGGACTGGGGGCTGAAGTGGGGATTGAAGTGGGCACCAGAGCGGGGACCTTAGCGGAGATCCGAGTGAGGACCGGAGTAAGGATGAGAGCGGGACTGGAGCTGACCGGAGGGGAACCGGAGCGAGACCGGAGCGGGGACCAGAAAGAGGAACAAAACCGGGATCAGAGCAAGCACCGGAGCGGGGACCGGAGCGGGGGCAGGAGTGGGACGTGAGCGGGGACCGGAGCTGTGACTGGAGCGGAACCGGAGCGGGCACCAGAGGACAGGAGTGCGACCTGAGGGGGGACAGGAGCGGGAACGAAGCGGGAACGAAGCGGGACCGGAGCGGGACCGGAGCGGGACCGGAGCGGGACCGGAGCGGGACCGGAGCGGGGACCGGAAGAGGGACCAGAGCGGGACTGGAGCGGGACCGGAGCGGGATCGGAGCGGGACCGAAGCGAGTCCGGAGCGAGGACCGTACCAGGGACCGCGCTGGGAACTGAAACGGCGAGTGAAGTGTCTGCTGAAGGGAGGGCTGAAGCGGGATCCGGAGCAGGGCCGGTGCAGGACTGATCGTTAGCAACGCGAAGTGCCGGCGCAGCGCTGACCGCGGAGGGTGGTCATGATAATGGATGCTTCCCCCGCCCCCGCCCTGCGCGCGATGCGTTAATCATTCGCCGGCGAAAATTGAATTTTTGATCGAGATGTATCGCTGACGCGAGCTAGTGTGCGCCTCTCGGTGCCTTGCGCACAGAAATGAATTAGCTCTGCGGGCGGGATGGAGGGTGCTGTACTGTCGGGAATGTTTGAAAAAAACTGAATGCATTAAATTATATTATATTGTTTATTACATTACAAATGTATTCAATTTCGTGTTCTTTTTCTTTAGTGTTTTGCCATTCGTCTTTTCAAGAGATTCAACCGTTGCATAGCCCAACTTTTCTCAGCTTCCATTCCGATATTGTCCTTTGCTTCCGGCGTATGCTCCCATACAAATCTAGAACTAATCCGCTAAGAAGGTAGTGTGGACCAGGGATCAATAATATTTATTGAGGAAACCCGTTATTTTAAAATCTTTTTTTGTAAAAGAGAAATTATAGATTACTAGAAGGTGAAGAGACTAATACTTTCTTCATGTTGTAGTTTTTTTCTTCTTCAAAATAACGTCCGAATATCTGTAGGAGTAGTGGAATATGGGTATCGCTAAGACGTTCATTCACAAAAATAAACACATTTTTGGATGAAGTATTGAATAACCAAATCCTTTATTCTAAAGCTGTAAATTGACTGAATATCGGTAATCATGTTATATGAAAAGAAACCAGTGATACTGAAATTTGACATTCGGTTAGAGGAGTTGCTAAGAGGATCGAACTTCAATGAATGTCCATTCTATACGTTGGGTGAGCGAAGGTGCTTTGTGTTATAGGTGAATGGTGCAGGTAGCGTTCTGCTTTAAACTGTCCGTCAGCAGATGAAGACAGCGTGAAACAAGCTTTCCCGCCCGCCCCTTCAGAAACGCTTCCGAAGCATCGTATTGTGTGTGCACGTGGGCATCGGCGCCTTGGTGGAAATAAAAAACGACAATCTTATTGAACGATTGGGTAGTACTTACCTAAAGTCAATAAATGGTTCAATCCAAAGACGGAATATTGCTCAGGACATTATATATATATATATTATACATATTTATATATATATTTATATATATTTATATTATATATCAGCTATGAAAGCAGCTAATTTAAAACATAGATACGAATCATAGTGATTCACCATTGCCTCTAAGATCGTGCTGTGTGGTACATACGAAACACTGCAATGTGAACAAAAATGTTTTCATGATATTGAAAACCACGCGCGTTTTATTACGTGCAAGTTTTAGTACACTTACGTATATTGCGGCACTGTTTTTGCATTTGTCAATTTTTACATTCATTTTTACAGTGCTTTGACCTTTCATTATTAGATGAATAATGTAACTAGAGGTGCATATAGTGGGCCACACTTACCGTTCGATTTATATGTACGGATACTTGTATTATAATAATTGCAAATTATATTTCACTAAGTCTTCCGTCATTTGTGAATCAGTCTCTTCTGCCAAAAAATATAATAATAATAGAATATCAATATAATAATAATAATAATATAATAATAATAATAATAGAATAAGATGAAGTTTCGAATTTGCCAATCCTCCTAGATTCAGTGTCTAAGTTTACAGATTTTATGACGTCCGGACATACAACATTCGAGTATTTATAGCGTAGTTTGTTCTAAATTCGAGAAATATATTTTTAGTGAAAAATATTTCCTTAGTGTTGCCGGAAATCGAAATCCGATATACCGATTAAAATTCGATAACCACAATCGCAATTGCAATCTATCTGTCTGGCGTATTCGAACTTTTTAAACGCTTTGTTCCGTTTATGCGCTGCTGTTTTCGCGTTGACATGTCGACAATTTTTTAAAACATAATACTATTTAGTTAAAAAACCGTATACATGAATTATTCAAAATCTAATATTGGAAAAAGGTTGCACTGATGAAAGAAATCTGAAGGTTTCAAACTTCAAGGTGTAAAATAATTTTTTTTAAACATTAAGATTTTAAAATTTAGAAGTTAATAGAAAATTTTATCATGCCAGTTATGTAAGAAGGTGAATTGATTACCATGATAACTCAGAATCATTTCAGTCAACAATGGTAGGGACTTACAAGACGGATATTTCTGTTTGCATTTATTAAATCAAAACAATTTATTTTGAAAAAATTCTTTTTCCTTGTTTAAATTAAATGTAAATTAAATCCATTCATTTCTATACGAGGGGATGCTATATTCAGTGAAAAACTTTTAAGAAAACGAGGATCATTGGTAACTATTCATACGGTATCTGTTTTATAGAGTTGAATTAACAAAATATGACATATTGACACTTTCTTGAATTATCAACTAACATTCTTCTTACACGTCTATTTTTCATGTCATTTCTATGTCTTCATCTTTTTTTGTCATGTCATACTAACAAACTTCTAAAGATTTTGAGACAAATTACTTTTCGGATAATAGTCTCTGCAAATGAATCTGAAGAACATCGATTTTTCCACGAAAACTCGAATTCTGCGGGCCTGGTACTGAAAGAGTCATTGTTCTTATATTTTTAATTATTGACTAGTGTTGTATTTACTATATGTAGTAAGTAATCTGCTTCTGTCACATTCTGCGAAAGAATCCACGTTTTGAGCTACTACATACTAAATTGATTTTAGAGCAAAAAATGTTATTTGTCTAGTATCTGACTGTCCGTGTGTCTAGACTATTCAGACATGTAGACTTTTTCGCAAAACTGATATTCTCCAATCGAATTGGGCGAACAAGATGACTGCGAATTTGAAACGCATAGATTTTGACTTTTTGGGGGTACTCATCATAAACTTGGATATTTAAAATTTCTCAACTGGTTCTCTCATTATTAGAGATTATCCTGCAGTAATCTACTTTAATTGAGTTGACACTCAACGTCTTGATGTTTTTATGTTCATCATTCGGTAAATAGAATCCATTATCCAAGAGTTTTTTTAATTGGGCTCGTCGATTGGAAGCAACGAAAGTTATACATAGTTGTCCGCTAGACGCACGCAGCGACCCTCCAGGATTGACTGTAAAGTACAGCAAGCAGAAAAACCACTCTCACGTGCTCTCGAGCGGATTCCTCTTGGAGTCTTTGCGGTGAACGCTGCTCTGCGCCTTCTTTGGCTGGCGGCGCCGGCTCTCCAGCTCGGTGAGGGATGTGCGCGGGAGACTCGTCTGGACGAATGTCCAGCGGCAGCGGCGGCGGCGGCGGCGTGCGGGGGGCGGCTGCAGCGCGCCACAGCGGGTAAATCGGAGTTGGCAGCCGCATCTCACGGTTCGCTCCCGCTGGCCTCCGCTGCCTCACCGCCCCGCCCCGCGGCCGCATGCCGATCACCTCCGTCATAGCCTCCCGACTCCCCCTTCCCTGCTCACGCCGCCGCTTTAAACCTCCCGATCCCGCCCCATCTTACCCGGCCTATCTGTTGCAACGCCGGTGCCCCGCCGCTCGGTGCCCGCCGCGCGCAGATTGCGCCCGGTTGCCCGCCGTTTTTGTTGCCCGCCGTTTGCCGCCCGCCCGTTGCCCCGGCCTGCCACGCCGGTTGCCGCCCGGTTGCCGCCCGGTTGCCCGCCGGTTGCCCGCGGTTGCCCGCCCGCAGCGCTCGGTTAACCGCCCACCAGCTCGCCACCCGCTGCCCCCATCCCCTACGCTCGCCTACTCGCTT